CTCTTCCTTACGCTTCACGTTATATTCTTGGAACAATGTTGATTGGGAAGTGATTAAAAATTATATTGAGATCGTTTATTGTTATTGTGTCGTGTATTTACAGATTTAGGTCCTTAAATAAAGTACATAGACAGGTTCGTAAACATAGCTCACTAAGTTAATTTGGCTGGCAATAGTGAATTACCTATGAATGACAACAAGTATCGTGATGGGATATATTTGACTGTGCAAACTGATGTGTGTTAGCATGTACCATACTTGATGATTTAATAAGTTAATTACGTTTAAGCTTATGCTTATTTGTCCTCTATGGTTAACAAGTACAATGTCCTGATTTAATCTCCAACAGGACTTCTGGGTTTAGCAAACCAGCTTTCACGTCCGATGAAGTGTACGATAGGGTTTTAGATCTCCAGGACAAGGTATTTATCCTTAGTTTTTTTCCTAGATAGATGTTATACGTCGTACATGCATACAATTAATTCCCAAATCAATTTAAGCAATTAATTTATCTCAAGTCAATGTTGAAACGAAAACCAATAGGATCAAAATTAGCTTGTTCATAGTAGTAATACTGTTAGTATTTGAAGTTCAAGGACATACATTGATTTGATACACGCAGAAACATTTAGAATTGATACATGATGGTTTATTCATGGCCATCCATGTTTGTATGTGTAGGTTACGAGTGTGAACAGGATTCCCAAGCCGAAGCCGAAAGTTGAGAAACCCGCCAAGGTGGAAACCGAGAATACTGGTGACAAATCAAATTCTACCGACTCTGCATCTGATGAAGCAAAATCCTCGATGGCAGATGATAAGGCTGATGCCGAGTCCAAACCGCATGACGAGCTGTAGAGACATTCGGAAAGCCGATAACTGATAATGCTCGGGCGATATGAAAACAGAGACGGTAGAGGTAGTGAAAATTTAATACGGTTAGAATGAATGGAGTTTGGATCCAGATTTTTTAGTTATGATCGGCTTTTCTTTTTCCTTTGCAATATATATGAGAGTTATTAATCTACTGCCATGCTAAGCCTCTATTTAGAAAAGAGAGTTTAAGCTTTTATTCCTACTTGTAATTTTTTTTTTTCTCTAGAGAACTTTTGGTGGCTATTATATCATTTGTTAGCTAGCCATTTTCGCTATTGAGAGAATTTTGTTCGTTGGATATACAAAACTTTGTAATTTATATATGACAACAGTGTTGGTAGTCTTTCATTTCAATCAATTGCGCGGTGTAAAAATGCATCATTTCCCCATTTTACTCTTAGCAGGTTGTATGTATAAATAGCTGAGATGATGTTGAATAATTATAGAATTGGTTGACAATAATTTTGGTGAGAATATTCTTTTTTCATGCACACTAGAAAAAAGAGGAAAGTGTAAAAGCATTTGCAGCCTTTGAACATTTTGTTGTGTTGCATTTACCTTTGTAGAATTGGTAAATAAAGATGGATAGAGAGAAAAAGTGACCTCAATTTTTTATTTATTTTTTTTTTTACCTTTACAAGAGGAGCTTAGCTTTTAGCATCTATTGTATCTCTTCTTTCTTCATTTTTCATGGGATATATGATGATTGATTCCAGGGTAGATTCATTCATATGATGCTGCAGTTCAACTGAAAGTCATTTCAAGTTAAATCAGCCAATTTGGTTTGAAGTTTGTTGGTGATCGAGATATGGCAGCAAGGAAAATATAAATGCATGGAAAAATGTCAGCAGCACAAATTCTCAATAATATTACTACCTTCTATTTTTAATATATGTCGTTTTGAGAAGTTGCACGTTAATTAAGAATATTTTTTTTGTCAATAATAACCTTATTTAATGAAGATAGAGATGAATGTTTTGAGAAAAAATGAAGAGTGAATATAAAAAGATGTAATGTATTTATTAGCTAAATAAGGGTAATAATGGAAAAATATGTAGAAAAGATTCAAAACGACATTTATTTGACAAATAGTTGATAAAGCTAAAATGACATTTAAAGAAAATAGGAGGGAGTATTATATTATGCTCTATCGTCGGGGCGGGGCGGGGTTGTTACAAATATATAACTCTTTGTAGGTAAAATAAAGAAAGAAAGAAAATGTGAAGGCCAGCGTGCGTGCGTGCGTGCGTGCGTGCGTGGTCTAATAATGACATATCCTACTTAGTTTGCTCAATTAACTGGATGATACCTAACTGACTATGATTTTGAGAAAAACACATAGTATTATTATTTAATATATGTGTAAGTATTTGACGACAAGTAAATCTTATTTATGTAAATATAATAACATCACAAATTGATATACATCTGACACAAAAAGCATGATAAAATTCATTCATATTTTAGACTATTGAAAAGTTAGATGACCTTGGCTGAAAGAATTTTAAACTTAGAGTTGATAGATTATGGTTGAAAAGTTAAATAAAATTGTTTTTTGGTAAGCATTTAAAATTTATTTATCTACCTTGCTATATATTTATTTGATATGTGTCTTTTTTTGCTATGTTTTCCAAACAATGGTACGTATAATATCGGTATATGGCATCAGACTTGCTTGAAATATGAACTCGTGTATGTACGTTGGGACTGTTTTCCAACGAATGAAGAACAGCATTTATGCATACATTGGATTCGTTGACTGACTAGGGTATTAACTTGTTGTTGGGTAATAAAAAATCTCAATTAACACCACCTTTTTTTTTTTCTTCTATTCATTCATAAATATATATCATTGCGTGGGTGGGTGTGGGTTACAGTCCCGAGGCCACTGTTGGCCATAAATAAATAAATAAATCATCAACGACTGTAGAAAACGGTCGTCCCATCACCCCCATGTGTAGGAAGGACTGAGGGACCACGTGGGATTGACGGAGCATATGGTAGTCGGGACCCACTCCAAAACAAACCTCATCGAGCATCTTTAGTAACAGGTTTTCATGAGGTTTGAAAATATAAACCTGTGAGGTTTGCTATTATTTGGGAGAGGTTTGAGGTTTGAGCTTATTAGAGCATCTTTATCAATAAACCTTCTTAAACCTCCTTTTACACTTCCCAACATAACACATCATCCAAAACCTCATTCTTACTCCTATACCCATAAACCTTCAATAACAATAAACCTCATAAACCTCATTTTTTATGGGTCCCACATGTTTCCAATTACTTTTAATTAATATTATATTCTTTCTTTTAATATTTTAAAAGTATAACTCTACTTTTTATTTTAATTAAATCTAAATATTTTATATATTTATTATAAATACATATAAAAAAATAATTATAAATACATATAAAAAATAATATAATTATATTATATTATTTATAATTATAAAGTGTTAATCACATACCTATGTAAAGTTTTACTTAAAATAAAATTATATATTCATATTTATGTTCATATTTTAAAAATAAATTTTATTAACTATTTTTATTTAAATAAATATTTTTATATATTTATCACAGATATATATATGTATATATTTAATTGTAAATATTTATCAAACTGAAAATTTAGAAATTTTATTACACAAATTGAACATTATAAATTATACTACATTAAACATGAAACATAAATATATAAATTAAAAAATATTTTTATTAATTCAAGCGTATAATGAACATTATATAAATGTAGTATAAAATAACCACTACATCTAAAATATGAAAGATAAAAGAAAAGTAAAAAAAACAAACGTAAATCTGCAAAAATTATTAGAAAAGAGAGTTAAATAAAAATAGATAAAAAAGTTAAATAAAAATAGATAAAAAAAAATTAAATAAGGAGAATGCAAATGATGTGCCAGTGGGGTGTCAGTGGTGATGGCCTACCTCTCACGCTCTTTTTTTCACTGTCTTTCCACGCGCGAGCTTTAATAATTCAGAGAATATGAACGTGCAACTCACTGCTTTACTTTTACATATGTAATTTATTTTTCATTTCTTTTTTGAGTGAGGTTTGTGGAAGGTTTGGTTTTATAAACCTGATTTGTAAACTCAAACCTCAAACTTCTCCCAAATAATAGCAAACCTCACAGGTTTATATTTTCAAACCTCAAGAAAACCTGTTACTAAAGATGCTCTTATATTATGAATCCTGCTCTGTTGAGTATTGAGGATTAAATAGTAAAATCATACCCAAAAATAAAAAAATAGTGAAATTATACCCAAAACAATATTGTTATGTGAGATTTAACAACGATACTCACATAAATTTGATAAATGGAAAGTTGTAAATTAGTTGAATTTCTTATTATTTTCGAGTCGGTTTTTTAGTACAAGAGATCGGTTTTTACGTGGACCCGAGCTGTCTTATGAGTGTATTTAATGTGTCGGGAAAAAGATCCTCGTGCAAGAGTAAATACTGCTATTTATAGTAATTCTAGGCTCGTCTTTTGAGATCCATTCAGCGATATTAAATGTGATTTTACGGCCTATGAATAGCTAGCTTGCAGGTGGTCCCCATAAGTAATGATGAAGATATGGGCGGCTGATAGACAAGCGTCATGTTTGTCTGTTGTCTCTCGATGATCTAAGTTCTTCTATGAAGTCGGTCCTCGTCCCATTGCATAAGTCGGTCCTTCTCTAGGTTCATACCGAGTTCCACCAAGTCGGTCTTCCTTCCCGTTTTTTAATACTCAATCTGATGACACATTTTATAGACCATCCACAACAACTCAATTGAATTAATTGAATTATATTTTCAAATAAAATTATTTATTTCTTACCCAAATATCATACCATTTAAAAGTACATAATTATTCTAAACTCGTGTGCTTCATAAAAAAAAAAACAAAGGTATTCGAATTTTTTAATCGGTGGACAAAAACGTTATTCGGCACTTTATTCTGGTATAAAATAAAATAAAATTAAATATATATATATATATATATATATCCATAAAAGGAG